CATTGGCCTCTTTTTTTAGAATGAGAAATTTGAGTCTTAGAGAAGATTGGTGACTTGTTTCAAGTCACAAAGCAAGTGAGTGGCTGATGCTAATGTTTTAAAGATTTTCTTTTTCAATTTGTTCAATACAAATGCAATTCTCTCTTAGTGCAACCAAGGAAAGATGTCTTTTTTTCTCACTTTATTGAGGTATACTTATTATACAAAAAAATTGGACATGTTCAATGTATACATTTTGATGAGTTTGGGCCTATCCATTCACCTGTGATACCATCACCACAATCAAAGTAATAAATGTATCCATCATCTCTAAAAGATTTCTCTTGTCCCCTTGCTCTGTTCTTTTCTTTTTTTGGAAAAATGAAAATATGTACAACTTAACCCACCCCCAACATTTCATATCAGTTTCATTAAATATGCTTTTCATAATCAATGTCAATAGCCTGGTGCATCTCCCTGCATCTGTGTAGGCACATAGGTTATTTTTATTTGTTTGTACAAATATCGGGACCATAATTGATACATTACTTGCAGCTTTCTTTTGTTTCCTAACAGTGCATCAACGCCTTCCATCTAGGGTAATAGGACTCTATTTTGTTATATTTTTAAATTCAGCTTTACAACCCATGCAGCATTCATCTGGGTGCATTGTATGATGTAGTGAAATTTTCATTCATTTCCCCAGCCTGCTCCACACCTCAGAAATGCCAAATTGGCCCAGCACCATTAAACAATCAATTTTGCTTTAGTGTTAACTTTTTAAGTTAATGTTGCAATAGTACACTCTTTTAATTAATGAACCATTTAATATCTACAATCACAAATATCCCTCATTACCTTTCTCTTTTGAGGTTTCCCTTGTATAATATCACCTACTGAAAATTTACAGCTAAAATTTAACCTCGCTTTTCAAATTTCTATAACACCACATTTGGCTTTCTAAGTTATTTGCCATAGCATGAGAATATTTTTTGAGAAAATGAGCAATTAATATTGACTTACTCTCTCAGATTATGTGTCTGTGTCTGTGGTGGGTCTTCTTCTAAAGCTGTCCCGTAAATTCCTTAGAAAAATTTTGTCATTTTCTTTATATGGGGCCTGAATAAGTCTTCAGGAGGGTATAGCTGAGTAATTTTTTTTCTTGCTATTGTCAATTAGTTATAAATTGGATTATCTTCATAAAATGTTGGTATAGAGGAAAGCAGTGGTTTTTAATTGCTTATTTCTTGGTGCCTAACTTACTACAATGTTTACCACTGTTCAAAGTTTTGGAGGCTTGCTGTTAACAGTGATTTAGCAACATAAAAGATATCCATGTATGTGTATTTGAAAATCACAATTAAGCCTCATTTCATATTGTCTAAGTAGACAGATTTTACACATCATGAACAATTGTCAGAGTTCATGGATGGGCATTAGTAAATTTGAGAACCCTCTTAAATAAAAAAATAAATTTATGAATATGAACATAAATACATTTTTCAGAGTGGATGGAACATAGATTTAATCAGATCCTCATGTGTATCTGTAAATCAAAAAAAGATAAGAATGTATATATAATGTATTATATGTTTTAAAAATACATACATACATCATCTTTTAAAATATAGCTCTCTGACCCATTCATTAGAGTTTATTTTTTCAAATTAAATCAAATTTGATGTTTTCCTCCTAAGTAGCTAATGTACCTCACAAACTTTTAGGAATCAGTTTTGTGTCATTGATCACTTCATTACATTCTTCGAGCCTTTCTTCAAATATAACCATCCCGATGGGACCTAAGGGGAGCATCCTGCCCACCATCTTTACACTAATTCTATTCTCTCTATTCTGATCAGCTCTTTAGTTTTTGCAAAATATTGATTATCTTCTAACCTTATTTTATTGTTTTATTAATTATTCGTTTTTTTATTGTCTCACCCCACCCCAATATAGAGCATAGGTCCAATAGAGAGATATTCTTTTCTATTTTGTTCACAGATAATACCTTGTGTGCCAACAGTAGCACCTGGCACATAGTAGGTGCTCATTAAATAATTGCTGAATAAAAATATAAAGAATATTCTAACAATAGAGGCAAACTTAGCTAGTAAGAAAAATAGCACAGAGTACTCACATATTGGTTAGTGGGCACAGATTCTAAATAAAACGGTTAATTTTTAATAGTCATGGAATCAATTGTCATGATAATATAATCTTTTATGTTTCTAAGTGGCTTTTTAACTTACAGAAGTGTTTTCCCAATGTTGAATTAGGATTCAATCCTAACGTCAATCCTATGACATGGAATTCATGATGGTATCTGACTCAGGTCTGTTATGAGGTAATATATACAAGGGTGTTTCCACATTTCCTGACCTGGGAGTAAACCTTTGGTGAATGTTAATGATTTCATTATCATTCTTATTATTGCAGCTATCATTATTATTAAAAGCAGTTACTTCATTTTTGATTCTAGATGGGAAATGTGTGTTTAGAGAAAATAAATGATGTGTATTCACTTGGCACACAAAGCCAAGTGAATAGCTGAGGTTTTCATTCATTTTTAAAAATGTGAGTGTTCTGTGCCAATATTGTTAATATTAAAAGTAGTACTTTCACAGTTTACCTAAGGAAAGAATTTAGAGATATAAATTGACAAATTCAATAGCCTATACCAAAACTAATTCATTCCACATCTTTTCCATTATCTTTATTAAGCTTGTGATCCATCTCCCTCTATGCACAAAAACAGACAAAAACATATACAGATGTAGAAAACTCCATATATTTCCTTGTTTTTTATTCATTTTATAACAGGATTATTTTATAAAAACTGTTAATATTATCCTACACATTTCTCTGAAAATTGGTTTTATTCTTGGGCATATTTTCATAGACATCCCTCTAGGTCATAGTATACTTCATATTGTTTTTTTTTTTTTTAATTTTTTGTTTATTGCAGTAACATTGGTTTATAACATTGTAAAAGTTTCAGGTGTACACCAATTTGTAAAGGTACATGCACCCCTGTGTTCATTGCAGCGTTATTCACAATAGCCAAGACTTGGAAGCAACCTAAGTGCCTATCAAGGGACGAATGGATAAAGAAGATGTGGTATATATACACAATGGAATACTACTCAGCCATCCAGCCATTTGTGACAACATGGATGGACATTAAGGGTATACTGCAAGGTGAAATAAGTCAGAGGGAGAAGGTCAAATACCGTATGATTTCCTTCATTAAGTAGTAGATAATAACAACAATAAACAAACACATAGGGACAGAGATTGGATTGGTGGTTACCAGAGGGGAAGAGGGGAGGGAGGAGGGCGAAAGGGATAATTCGGTACATGTGTCTGGTGATGGGTTGTAATTAGTATTTTGGTGGTGAACATGATGTAATCTATGCAGAAATAGAAGTACTTCATATTGTTTATGTTTTAAAATTCAACTCAAACCCAAATGGAATTCATTAGGGGATATGATTTCCAAAAAAGAATCAAATTCTATTTTCCTGAAAAGAGCCAATGTACACAATAGAGTTTTAGGAAAGCCATTTATTTCCTTGCTTCTTCAGTTTTTAAACTAATACCATATTGTTTGAATCTATATAACTTGATATTACTTTTTAGTTACTTTTGTCCTCATTAGCTTTTGTGGTTTAAACTGTGTCCCCAAAAAAGATATGTGGAAGCCCTAATACCCCAGTATCTCAGAATGTGACCTTATTTGGAAATAGGATCATTCTAGATGTAATTAGGTAAGATGAGGTCATACTAGAGTAGGGTGACGCTTTATCCAGTTTGGCTGATATCCTCATAAGAAGAGGGAAATTTTGACACAGACACAGGTGAAGGGAAGATGCAGGCATGGATTAGAGTCATGCTGCCACGAGCCAAGGAATTCCTGGACCACCAGAAGCAGAATGAGACAAGGAGAGATCCTCTCCTAGAAGCTTCAGAGGGAGCATGGCCCTGCCACCCCTTAATTTTGGGCTTGTAGTATCCAGAACTGTGAAACAAATTTATATTGTTTAAGGCCACCCAAGTTTGTGCTACTTTGTTACGGCAGCCCTAGGAAACTAATTCACTGGCCTTCAGTATTTTTCCTAAGTTGTTATTTCTTACTAATATATTCTTACAGGTGGAGTTTTTTGTTTTGTTTTGTTTTGTTTTTTAAGATTTTATTTATTTATTTTTTCCCCCCAAATCCCCAGTAGATAGTTGTATGTCATAGCTGCACATTCTTCTAGTTGCTGTATGTGGGACACGGCCTCAGCGTGGCCGGAGAAGCGGTGTGTCAGTGCACGCCCGGGATCCGAACCCGGGCCGCCAGCAGCAGAGCGCACGCACTTAACCATTAAGCCACGGGGCCGGCCCACAGGTGGAGTTTTAACAGCTATTTGTCAAATTACCAAAAACTTCCCTTGGGAATTTTAATCTGATTACCTTAAAAATATAAATGAAATTGAGAAAATTCAACATCTCTACAATATCAACGTCGTATTCAGGAGCATGGGTATGTATCTATTATTTAAACCCCTCCTTTATATTATATAATACAGCTTTGCATTTTAATTATAGGTCCTGAAATTTTCTCAATATGTACTTTTAGTAGTTTACATTGTGTCTTTCTGTTGTATTTTTGTTTGTTTTTCTTTTCTGCTTTCTACTTGTTTCTGTAATGTAAGGACTATACTGATATTTTTCAGTTTATACTTTTGGTTCATTTTTAAAAGAATATATTCTGTATTCTCCAGTTTCCTCATTTGACTGTTTTACTCCCTTTTCCTCCAGTTTTATTGAGATATGACTGACGGATAAAATTGTGTATATTTAAGGTGTACAACGTGATGTTTTGATATGCATATACATTGTGAAATGATTACCACAATCAAGCAAATTAGCATATCTATCATCTCATATAGTTACCATTTTTTTGTATGTGGTGAGAACACTTGAGATCTTCTCTCATCAAATTTCAAGTATACAATAATATTATTAACCAAATTCACCATGCTGTACTTTTGATCTCCAGAACTTATTCATCTTGTAACTGAAAGTCTGTACCATTTGACCAACATATTCCCATTTCCCTCACCCCCCAGGCCCTGATAACCACTGATCTACTCTCTGCTTCTGTGAGTTTGACTTTTTAAGATTCCACATATAAGTGTGAGCGTGCAGTATTTTTGACTATTTCACTTCCTATGTAGATAATATTTTTTATAATTTGGATATATTATATCATCATAACAAAGACACACACCACATCTGGAAAGTCCCTGACCTGTCAAGCACACAGATCAGTCAGTAGCCTTTCACTTGGGGCCCCAGGAAATTGAGTTTCTTTCTGAAACCCAGTCTCTTAGGAAATGTGGTTGGAGGAACTTTAATACCAGCCGGTCCAGGGTTGTTCAGGCTGTCGCATGAAAGCACAACTCACTAGAAAACTTTCGATTTGAAGAAAGATGATTTACAAATGAAATTTCAGCCTAGCTATTAAGCTCACTTCCTCACTACAGGCACAGCCTTGGGTGTGTGCACATGACATGTGTGTAGATATATCCACATTGCAATTTAAAAATACCAAAATAATAATTCTAAATTTTGCATCGTTATGTAAAAAAAACTATTGTCATTCATTATGTCTATACAAACACGTTGACTCCTTTGATCCTTGAAGTAAGCTTCTAAATAAGGAATAATGGGAGAATCTCCCTCATAGGAATGATGTGATGATTAAAATACAAGTTCTACATGCAAGCGCTGAGCACATCATCTGACTCATTCTCAGCCCTCTGTCAATCCTAAATGTATTGATTTTATTAAAATTATTACTACTACTACTGCCATTTTTGAGAACAGATATTATTCTTTTTTTATTGCTTGGGAAACTTGAAGTTAGAAGTAAACTGACTTCATTAACTTTGCAGATGACGTGTGTGACTTTTCTGTGTTTTAAAAATATATACACATAGATATATATTTACATAGTGTTTGGGGTTGTATTTTACAAAATTGGATCTTATAATAAACATTCTACAATTTGCTTTTCTCACATAACAATACATCATAGATATCTGTAGAGTTCTGTTCATATCCTAGTTTATATTCATGTGTCCTGAAATCCAGCATTTTAAACCATAAGGGATGAATTTTATAATGTGTTGAGATCTGTAATTTTATATTTTCCCTCTGCCTAAAACAAAATTTTGGCCCTACTAGTTTTGTTCCTCAGATCTATAAAAACTCGCCAGAGATCTTTCCATGTTTTTTTTTTTTTTTTTGAGTTTATTTTTTAGAGCAGTTTTAGGTTCACAGCAAAATTGAGCAGAAGGTACAGAGGTTTCTCATATACCCCCTGCCCCCACATATGCATAACTTCCCCATTATCAACATCCCCCACCAGAGTGGGACATTAGTTACAATTGATGAACTTCCATTGACATAATCACCTAAAGTTGATACTTTACATTAGGGGTCACTCTTTGTGTTGTACATTCTGAGTTTGGTCAAAAGCATGATGACATGTATCCATCTTTAGAGTATCATACAGAGTATTTTCACTGCCCTAAAAGTCCCCTGTGCTCTGCCTATTCCACCCTCCGCTCACACCCCTTGGCAACTACTGCTATTTTTACCGTCTCCATAGCTTTATCTTTCCAGAATGTCATGTAGTTGTAGGTAGCCTTTTCAGATTGGCTTCTTTCACTTATGTATTTAAGGTTCTTCCATGTCTTTTCATGGCTTGAGAGCGCATTTATTTTTACCACCGATTAATATTCAATTGTCTGGATGTACCACAATTTATTTACTCATTTACCTATTGGAAGACACTTTGTTTGCTTCTAGGTTTTGGCAATTGTGAAAAAAGTGGCTGTAACATCCGTGTACAGGTTTTTCTATGGACGTAAGTTTTCAACTCCTTTGGGTGAATACCATGGAATGTAATTGCTGGATCATATGGTAAGAGTATGTTTAGTTTTGTAAGCAACTGTCAGACTATCTTCCAGAGTGGCTGTACCATTTTACATTCCCACCAGCAGTGAATGAGAGTTCCTGTTGCTTCACATCCTCACCAGATTTGCTGTCGTCAGTGTTCCTGATTTTGGCCGTTCTAATAGGTATGGAGTAGTATCTTGTGGTTTTAACTTGCATTTCCCTGATGACATATGGTGCGGAGTATTTTTTAATATGCTTATTTGCCATCTGTATATTTTTTTTGGTGAGGTGTCTGTTAAGGTCTTTGGCCCATTTTTTTAATTGGGTTGTTTGTTTTCTTATTGTTGAATTTTAAGAGTTCTTTGTATGTTTGGTATTTTAATTATTATAGCTTGAAAATACAATTTAGGCACTTTCCTTACAAAAGTCATTTTCTTTTTTTTTGATGAGGAAGATTAGCCCTGAGCTAACATCTGTTGCCAGTCCTCCTCTTTTTGCTAAGGAAGATTGGCCCTGGGATAACATCCGTACCCATCTTGCTCTACTTTATATGTGGGGCACCTGCCACAGCATGGCTTGAATAACGATGCAGAGGTCCGTGCCCAGGATCCAAACCTGCAAACCCCAGGCTGCCGAAGCAGAGCACGCGAACTTAACCACTACGCCATCAGGCTAGCCCAGAAGTCTTTTATTTTTTGCATACTCTCACCTCATTATTCTTTGAGATCAGTATTAACATTAGTTTCTCAAATTTAACTAAATATCCCGTTGAAATGTCTATCATGTTGACACTACAAAGAATTTGAGTAAAATCATTATTTTCGCAGTAGGGCTTTCTCTTCCACCACCATGTGTATGAGTCAAATTATGTAAGCTGTTTTATAACTCTCAGAACAGTTTTGTAGTTTTCTTCATTTCTGTGCTGAACATTACTTGATCAATTTGTATACAGGTTGTATACATTTTCTCTTTCTATTGTAAATGGGATCATTTTAAAATTGATCTTTTAACTATTGCTGGCATATCAAAAATTTATAAATTTTTTTAATGGGATTTTCCATGAATAATTTTAAGAGCTTCCGGTTTTATTGGTTTTTTTTTTGTTTTTGTTTTTTTGTAAGGAAGATCAGCCCTGAACTAACATCCATGCTAATCCTCCTCTTTTTGCTGAGGAAGACCGGCTCTGAGCTAACATCTATTGCCAATCCTCCTCCTTTTTTCCCCCCAAAGCCCCAGTGGATAGTTGTATGTCATAGTTGCACATCCTTCTAGTTGCTGTATGTGGGACGCCACCTCAGCATGGCCAGAGAAGCGGTGCGTCGGTGCACACCCAGGATCCAAACCTGGGCCGCCAGCAGCAGAGTGCACGGACTTAACCGCTAAGCAATGGGGCCAGCCCTGTATATGTACTTTCTGTTTGCGTAAATTACTGACCCCTTTTCTGACTCTCATCATTTTCCAGGTGATTTTTCAGTTGTCTTGAAATGAACAATACCTACTCTCAATATATTGAGATGTAAAAATGAAGTCACATATCATTTCGTTATAATCAGTAAGTCCTTTTCATTGCAGACTCAAACCAGCCAATCAACAATACTGAAGGCTGTTTAGAGACTATGCCCTTTACATTGACAATTGATCCCTTACACCTATGATGCTCTTGTGTATTCAGGTATACGGGTGCCACGTAAGGAGTTTGTATGGACTGTGCTGCCAACTTAGCCGTGGGTTTTCCTAGCATCCACCAGAAGTCCAAACATATCTCTTGTTATTAAAAATTGGCAATTTAATAGAGTGGGTTAATCTTGTGTGTTAAGAATGCTTACCCTAATCTTTATATACTGTTTGGTAATTTGTTTTTGAATAGGAAACCAGCATGTTAGAATATTTTGTTAAACTTGAAATTGAATTTTATGATATAAAATATTGCTTAGGATTTTATGTTTCTTTTCATTTGTCAAGATATTTTCATGTATTTATCTCAATCAATAATAAATTTTAAACAACAGCTAACTTCTCCAAGTCAAAAGTCTCCTAGTCTGTCTTGTTTGAGGTCAAATAGCAATTAAATAGCTAATAGTGCTTTTTTCCCTACAGAAACTTTATAATTTGTGTGTGTGTCTGTGTGTGAGAGACTTTTTTTTGAATATTTCTTCTAAATTTATCTCTAGATATTTTATAGTACTTCTTTTTTGGGTAATTTGTTTCTACGGAATATCATGTCATGGTAATATCTGTCATGTCTATAAATAGTTTTACATTTTATTTGTATATTCTCTCATATTGAGTAATTTTATCTTTGAAGCAAATCTCATGTAGTTGGGAAAAAAAGACTAACACGTGTTTTTCCTGAGAATCTAATGAGATCTTCCATACAAAAATCTCAGGGTCAAACATGAAGTACGTATTCAGTAGACGTTTATGGTAATATTTCTTGTTATTGTTATATTTTGCTAGGTGCTAGTACCTCCTTGCTGCACGTGAGATAAATTGAACTTAGAGAGGTTAATGTCACATAGGAAGTAAAAAGTCCTCATTTCCTTTCTTTTTTTTTGTATCAAATATGTTGCATTTTTTCAATTTTTTAACTAATAGGTGTTCATTATCTCTAATTGAATAAAGTATAAAAATAATATAAGAAATTAAAGGTCACTTTGAATCCCATCCTCTTGAGATGACTCTTTTGCTATAATGGAAGACACGCTTTCATATATCTTTTTATACATATATTATATACAATGTTATATACATTGTACATATGCGTTACTTAAATGTCATGGTATGCCACATGCTGTTTTTACTGTAGATGTCTTCATCTTCCCCTCCCAGCATCAGTGCTTCTTCACCCTTCCCTGCCTGTCCCTGGTAAGCCAGGTTAACAATATAGCATATATTTTGGCATACTTTTCTCCGTATGCATATCCTCCACAATCCTATTTTTTCATGTAAGTATATGTTTTCATATGTAAAAGTATTAAGTTTTTGTCACTGTTTTATAAACTGTCATCATACTGTAATTACTTTTTATGCATCTTGCTTTTATCACTTAAGAATACCTCATGAATAATCTTTCCTAGTCATCTGGTATAGCTCCAGTTCATTTTTTCAATGGTTGGGTAATAGTCCATGGTAAGAATATACCACATTTCAATCATCTATGTCCCTAGTTATGGACATTTCCTTTTTTTCCCCATTTCTTCATCCTGGGAAAAACGTTATAATGAAATTTTTTAGGCATATGTATTTAAAAAGTTTTACTTTTATTTCAGTGGAATAATTACCAGGAATATCATTGATATGTCAAAATATATTTGTATTTATAATTTTAATATATATGATAGGCTACCTTTAAAAATGTAGAACACTTTACATTTCTACCAACAGTGTTTAAGAGGACAATTTTCCCTTCATCCCCAGTAGCAATTGCTGTTATGCTTCTTGTTACTGGTGTCATTCAAACTAGTGGAAAGTGATATCAGCTTGTTACTTAATTTGAATTTCCCTAACTGCTAGAGAATCTGAGTAATTTTTCAGTTGGTTGTTGGACATTTGTGTTTACTCTTCTGTGAGTTGTCTATTCAAAGAATCAGTGACATATTTTCCATTTTGGGGGGCCGTGTTTTCCTTATCATTTGCTGAGAATTTTTTTTCATTAATGGATATTGGATTTTAGCAAATTCATCAATTGGTGTGATCATGTGATTGTTTTTTCCTCTTTAGCTTATTGGTATGGTACATTATATAATTCTTTTTTTAAGATTATTATTTTTAGAGCATTTTTAGGTTCACAGCAAAATTGAGAGGAATTTACAGAGATTTCCCATATACCCTTGGCCCCCACACAAACTTAGTCTCCCCCATTATCAACATCCCCCACCAGAGTAGTACATTTTTTTTTAAATCGATGAACCTCCATTGATACCTCATAATCACCCAAGGTCACTACTTTACATTATGGTACACTCTTGGTGTTGTACATACTATGGGTTTGGGCAAATGTATAATGACATGTATCCATCACTATAGTATCATACAGAATAGTTTCACTGCTGTAAAGATCCTCTGTGCTCTGCCTATTCATCTCTCTCCCCCACCAACCCCTGGAAACCACTGATCTTGTTACTGTCTTCATAGTTTTACCTTTTCCAAAATATCATACAGCTGGAATCATACACTATGTAGCCTTTTCAGATTGGCTTCTTTCTCTTAGTAATATGTATTTAAGGTTCCTCCATGTCCTTATATGGCTTAATAGCATACTTCTTTTTAGTACTGAATAATATTCCGTTATCTGGATGTATCACATTTTATTTGTCCATTCACCTGCTGAAGGACATCTTGATGCATCTAAGTTTTGGCACTTATGAATAAAGTTTCTATAAACATTTATGTGCAGAATTTTATGTGGGCATACATTTTCAACTCCTTTTGGTAAATAGCAAGGAGCACAATTGTTGGATCGTGTGGTAAAAGTGTGTTTAGTTTTGTAAGAAACTGCCAAACTGTCTTCAAAAATGACTGTACCATTGTGCATTTATACCAGCAATGAATAAGAGTTCCTATTGCTCGACATCCTCACCAGCATTTGGTGTTGTCAGTTGTTTTGGATCCTGCCCATTCTAGTAGGTGCGTGGTGGTATCTCTTTGTTGTTTTAATTTGCAGTTCCCTGATGATGTATGATGTTGAGCGTCTTTCCATGTGTTTATTTGTCATTTGTGTATCTTCTTTGGTGAGATGTCCAGATCTTTTGCCCACGGTCTTTTTTTTCTGTGTATTCTGACAGTCTCTGTCTTTTGTTATGTTTAGACCTTTCACATTTATAGTGATTATTGATACTGTTGGATTAATATCTTCTATGTTTGTAAATATTTTCTACTCATTACACGAGTTCATCTCTTCTTTATCTTTCCCCCTTTTCTTCTTTGTTTTAATAGAGCATTTTATAGATTCTATTTCCTCTCTCTTACTATACAAACTATATTGCTTTAAAATTTTTTGTGTGTTTGCCCTAGAATTTGCATTACACATTTACAGCTAATCTCTGTCCACTTTCAAATAATACTATGCCACTTCTTGGGTACTGCAGGTGCCCTATAACAGAGTATTCCCAATTGCTTCTATCTGTTTTGTTATAACGTTACTGTCATTCATTTCACTTATCCATATACTACAGTTACTCAATACATTATTGCTATTATTTCTTTGAACAAACAGTTACCTGTCTGATCAGTTAAGAACTAGAAAAATAAAATATTTTTTATTACCTTTATTTATTCCTTCTCTAATTCTCTTCCTTTCTGTATGGTGATCTGAATTTCTGATCTGTATCATTTTCCCTCTGTGTGATTAACTTCTTTTAAAATTTCTTGCAAGGCATATCTACTGACATCAAATTCCTTTAATATTTTTTTGTCTTTTGAGAAAGTCTTTATTTCTGCTTCACTTTTGTTTTTCTAATTTATTAATTTATTTATTTATTTATTTATTTATTCTTTTTTTGCTGAGGAAGATTAGCCCTGAGCTAACATCTATTGCCAATCTTCCTCTTTTTTCGCTTGAGGAAGATTAGCCCTGAGCTAACATCTGTGTCAGTCTTCCTCCACTTTATATGTGGGTCGCTGCCACAGCATGGCTGATGAGTGTTGTAGGTCTGCGCCCAGTGTCTGAAACCATGAACCCAGGCTGCCAAAGCGGTGTGCGCCAAACTTAAACACTAGGTCACAGGGCTGGCCCCCACTTTTGTTTTTTTAAAATAAACCTGTACATATTTAAGGTGTACAGCATGATGACGATATATATATATATACTCATAGTTAAATGATTAGTCAAGGTAATTAACATATCTATCTCCTCATATAGTTATCATTTTTCATGTGTGTGGGAGAGCATCTGAAATCTACTCTTTTAGCAAATTTCCAGTATATAATACCATATTGGTAAGTATAATCATCATGCTGTACATTAGATGTCTAGAATTATTCATCCTATGTAACTGAAAATTTGCACCCTTTGACCAACATCTCCTCATTTCCCCTGCCTCCTTGCCCCTGGTAACCACCATTCTATGCTCTGTTTCAATATATTTGACTTTTTTGATTCCACATGTAAGTGAGATCAAGCATATTTTTCTTTCTCCCTTCTGCCTTATTTCACTTAGCATAATGTCCTCAAAGTTCATCCATGTCACTTTTGTGACATGGCATGGTCTCCTTTTTTAAGGCTGAATTATATTCCATTGTATATATATTCCATAATTTCTTTATCTCTTCATCTGTTGATGGATACTTAGATTGTTTCCATATCTTGACTATTGTGAATAATCCATGAAATGAACATGGGAGTGCAGATATCTCTTCTGGGTATTGATTTCATTTCCTTTGGGTATATACTCAGAAGTGGAATTGCCAGATCATATGGTATTTCTATTTTTAATTTTTTGAGGAATCTCCATACTGTTTTCCATAGTGGCTGCACCAATTTATATTCCCACCAACAGTGCACAAGCGTTCTCTTTTCTCCACATCCTTGCCAACACTTGTTATGTCATGTCTCTTTGATATTAGTCATCCGATCAGGTGTGAGGTGATATTTCATTGTGGTTTTTATTTGCATTTCCCTAATGATTAGTGATGTTAAACACCTTTTTATTTATCTCTTGGCCATTTGTATGTGTTTTTTGGAAAAATATCTATTCAGGTCCTTTGCCCATTTTTTAATAGAGTTGTTTGCTACAAGTTGTATAAGTTCCTTATGTATTTTGGATATTAACCCCTTATCAGATATGTGGTTTGCAAATATTTTCTCCTAATCTGTAGGTTGCTTTTTCATTTTATTGATTGTTTCTTTTACTGTGTAGAAGCTTTTTATTTTGATGTAGTCCCACTTGTTTATTTTTGCTTTTGTTGCCTGAGCTTTTTGTGTCATATCCAAAAATTCATTGCCAAGGACGATGTCAAGGAGCTTTTCCCCCATGTTTTCTTCTAGGAGTTTTACTGTTTCAGGTCTTATATTTAAGACTTTAATCCCTTTTCAATTTATTTATATAATTTGTGTGATACAGAATGCTAGGTTGGTGGGGATTTTTCTCTAAATGCTTTAAATATTTTAGTCCACTCTCTTCTTGCTTACATGGTTTCTGATGATAAGTCCAATATAATTCTTATTCTTGTTTCTCTATAGATTAGGCATTTTCCCATCTAATTATTTTTAACTAGAAAATTAATATATGATAATTGAATCTAAAGAAATAGTGCAAGGATGTTTCAACATACAGATCTTCATTGATTTCCCCTTCCACGTCCAAATCTTGATACATGTCCTTCCACTGGTTTTTCAACCATAAACATACATATATACATGTATCCTTTTACTAAAACCTGGAACTTACTATGTGCACCATTCTACAAATTGCTTTTATTTTCCCCTCAACAATATTGAGTAATGAATACCAATCCCTAGGTTGATTATTTTTAAAATTCTTTTGTCAAATAATTCTACCTTTAAGAAATATGTTGTACATTAATAATACTTTGTGACGTGACTGTTAAGTTGAAAAACTTTCCAGAGAATATCCCATTCAACCAATAGCATTAGAGCTATCAATCTGTTTATATTTGTTATTATTTTGGTTTTACCAAACTATATTTTTTATAGCTGAAGACGTTATATGAAGTTAAATGATTCCCCTACACACCCCGTCTGTCTGGTCCCACAACCCCCTCCCCTTAAGAAAACTATAGCCTCATGAGTGTCCTTTCACATAACAGTATACTCATATATGCATTTAGATATGCTGTTGATTATTTTGGCAAAAATTGGAAAGTGTTATACACATTACCCTGCAAATTGCTTTTCTCTTTCACAATAAAGAATGTCAAAAATTTTATTTTTATATTACTGTGTTTTCAAATTTAACCCTTGATCCACCATGAGGTATATATTTTGGGTAGGTATAATCTGAATATCTCAGTTGATTTTATATTCTCCTCTTTCTCAATTTGCCCAATAGAATTTTATCCATTAATTTTGTCCTGTAGATCTCTCTTTCAGTTATTAAACCAATAGCTATGGTTTTAATGATTGTAGCTGTATCCTACCATTTACAATTTGTAATTAAACACGCTGCTCATAATCCTCCCTAGCCCCCACATTATGTCTTTTTAATATATGTATATACCCCTTGGCCAATCCCCCTTATTTATTATGGCAAATGAATTTTAATATGAATCTGGTTTATTATAAAATTTTATAATTTCATTTTAATTATATTATAACTATAATAAATCTTGAAATGTTCGCATCTATACTATATTGATTCTTCTCATCCAAGACCATGAATATGTTTGTTGTTAATGAAGCCTATTATTTACTGCTTGGAGGAGTTCATATTTGTCTTATATAGATCCAGAAAAGCTCATAATACTTTTTTTCCTTGGTATTAGATTTTTTTTCCTTTATTGTACATAGATTACTTTTCATTTATCTTTTCTGATTAGTACTAGTGTAGAGGAAATCTGTTAATTTTATTGTGTATATTTTTCCCCTCTACTTACCTTTTTGAATTGTCTTACCAGTTCCTATCATTCTTTTTTTCTTCTCTAGGATTTTCCAAATGGTTAAGTATATAACTTATGTTTTTTGAAGTGTTCCAGTATTAAAATCGTCTTACAACTTCAAGGTGTCACTGGAAATTCTTCCTGGACCTTACAGTACAGACTAAGTCAAACAGAAACCTGCTGTGAGTGGTTTGCTCTCGTCTATCCTTGTCTAGCCCAATCTCTCAGACATAGATTATTCCCTCTGCTCTGGGACCTGGGCAGGCCCTTCTGTGGATTTTACTCTAGGATCATCCAAAGCTGCCCCAGCAGGAACCTGAAACATAATCTCACTAGAAACTTTTTGATATGAATAATGACAAGTATAACGGGTGTGTTGATATTTGTTATTAGAACAAATTATTCTATGTATTTATATCTGATGATTGGGTAAGAAGGTTTTAAATAGGAATTATGATTTATATAAATGGATTTATCATACATGGAATCAGGTTATCTTTACCTAAACATGTATATTCCTATGTGACTTTGCACTTAACAAAATTATTTTTGCATGTTTTGATTCACTTGACACTCTTTGAAGTAATAGTATAGTTCCTGGATTTGTTATGAGGATTTCAGGAGACAATCCATGCTTAGCACAGTTTTTGGAAAGTACGTTAGCACTCTCTAAATGCTTAATTTAGATATCTTTAAGATATTTAAATAGATATATAGATAATTAGATATCTAGAAAGATATTTAATAGATATATATGATATCTATTATAGAAGATATATAATAAATATCTTTTAATTGTTACTATTATTGCTGCTGTTGTTAATAATGCCCATTATATCCTTTTTATAGACAGAGAAAATTGATGTTTGATGACACTTAAGTGACTTGCTTAGGGATGCACAGCATTTGCTTTTCTTTCTTAAAATTTTACTTTGTTTAATTTTATATCATTAGAAATGATGCCAGGTTGTT